TATACAAATTTATCTCTTAAATATTATTCAAATATGTCTGGCATGAACCATTACAGGTCCTCTGTGCTGCTTACAATAAGCATTACAGAGTGTTCTATTCCCTTTATGCTGGAAGCTTGGCCACTAAATGGCGGTTAGTTGCACAAAAAACATGTGTCGGAAAGTAAATTGCCGGCTATGTGGCAATAGTAAGCCAATAAATGCTGAGAAGTTAGCCAATAATGAATTGCTGGAAGGCCAGGGATATGGCCTATTAAGGCTGAACTATTTGCCACAAAATGCGGGAACAATGGCGAATAAATTATAACAAATATCATTTAATATGGGCCAATAAATACTAGAATATCGGTAAATTCAACAATCCGCGCCATAATTCTCTGATGGGGAGATAAGTTTTATTTCTGTAAACATAAACATACATTGCCATTGGCATGATCAGCTGATCGCAATCAACTTCAATGGGCAGCACTGCACCATAACATTTATGCAATTTCATATGATCAGCGTAGGTTAATAACATAACCAGAGTGACCATGACCTATGTTAATGACGTCGTTGCGAATGAAAATATCGTGTATCGGGTGAATGCTTAATTGCCTCTTTTAGTTTTGGCGTGGCATCATTCTTTTCCATTTTAATTGCCAACGAGTACAGTCATTTTAGATTGCTTTAAAAATTATAAAGCTCAATTTTTCACGTGGGCGTAGCAAACCCACGTGTATCGGCACTCAAGCTCGGAGAAAAAAAAGGGAAGGAAAAAAGGTCCAAAGTCCCTGGAAAAAAAAGGGGTAATATACACATTATGCGTTCCCGAGAGCTTGGCTATAACCTTTCACCGGAATAAAGAAAATTTTCAGAATTCGGACACTGACAAATCTTCACTAAGGGATCGTGGGATGCCTTTCCTGTGTGTGGAAATTTTAGAAAGGTGCAGGCTAAAGCGCGGAGCTGCGTTATTGCGTGCCAAAAAGAAAAATTACGCATAACGCGTAGTCCTTATCGGAGCCAAAGCCAAAGCCCAAAGCACCAAAAAGCGACAACCTACACTGGTAGCAGGGAGCGAAATTTCCTAAGGGCGAACCAAGATTTCAGCACCGTCTCAGTTTCTGCAGATAAGCTTTGAACCTTGCTAACCAATAGTTCTTGCTGCACGCACAGGCAGACCAACGTGACCACGTGTTCGACCCATCGATTCCCGGACATTCTTGAGCGCAGATCTGGTGGATAGCTAACCAGTGCGCACCGTTACTCGGATTTACAACAACTTATATAATTGTAAAACGGCAGGTAGGTATAAGCGAAGGGCATTAGTACACATGAAATTTAAATTGCAATTATTTCCGTTTTATATCGCTGACATTGTCTTTCGCTGACTACTATATTTCTACATTACTCAGTTCAATTAAGAGTCGACAGCACATCATCGTCATCAACAGGCCTGCTGACATCGTTGGATCATACTAAAGTAGTGAGTACTGTGTGAAAAAACAAAATGTAATAAGCCAACATATCGAATTGTATGTATTGTTTGAATCGCGGTTATAGTCAGCGGGTGTACTCCTAATCAGCCTTCGTAATTACAGATAATTTTTGTGGATCATTCAGATCAGCAGTGATTTAACTTCATATTAGCTTCGAAGTGTAATCTCATTCATGTGTGTTTTTGCCCAGATTGAGTTCAGTTTTATAAAAAAGAAAAACGTTTTTCTTTTCACGTAATGTATAATGAAGTACGATCATGAATTTAAATCTTCTTTGAATACAATTATATGATAATATGAAATCTTAATTCCTTTTTGGGTGGGTGAAGACCGAGGGTAGCCAACATCTTATCATCGGCTCCATATGATATATTCTGCTTGCAGACCGTAGTCACTATCGTATCATATCATATATCGCGGTATTCCGTCATACCTTAACTGTGTCTACTTTTTTATACCCTTGCAGAGGGTATTATAATTTTGCCGTCTGTCCGTATGACCGTCTGCCTGTTTCTATGCGAACTAGTCTCTCAGTTTTAAAGCTATCTTAATGAAATTTTGCAGAAGTCCCTCTTTCAGTTGCACGCAGCTCATATGTGAAAACCAGCTGAATCGGACCACTATATCATATATCTGCCATAGGAACGATCGGTTGAAAATTAAGTTTTTATATGAAAAAACATTTTGCTTATCAAGATATCTTGACCAAAGTTGGCATTTAAAAGTTTTCCTAAGCTCCTCATATATATGCAAAATCCTATTAAGATCGGATCACTATATCATATAGCTGCCATAGGAACGATCGGTCGAAAATTAAGTTTTTGTATGACAAAACATTTTGTTTTTCAAGATATCTTGACCAAACTCGGCATTAACTATTTTCCCTGTGCTTCTTAGATACGGGCAAAGCACTATAAGCATTATGAAAAGGTTGGGTCTGCAAGGGTATTAGATCTTCGGCGGGCCGAAGATAGCCTTTCTTTCTTGTTTTCTTTATTATACTTGACGCGTCGAGTGTGCCACTCCCAATGCACAACACGAGTGTTAGGCGAGGCGCGCCCAGCGTAGCCGTCGTGTTCGTTACAATTCTGACTATTAAATGAGGGAATGATGGCCCAGACTAGCCAATAAATTCCGTAATGTTAACGAAAATATGTCGTGAATATAGTTTAAAATTGATTGCAATGTAGCGAACAGATAGCTATTGGTTTGACAAAAAGGGCTGGAATGTTGGCATACAAATTCCGAAAAGTTTCCCAAAAAAATGTGGCCAATAGCTGCCGGAGTGTTGGCAAATAATTACAGGAGTGTTGGTTAATATATGATGGGAATTACATATAATGTCGCAATAATGATAGAATGTTTCGCAATAAGTGTCGAAAACGTGGCTTACATATTCTGGGAATTTTAACAATGAGCACGGAAATCTTGGCCCATAAATAGTTAGAAAGTAAATAGTAAGCAAGTAAATGATGAAAGTGGCAAAATAAATTATAAGAGGTCGGCCATTTAAAGACGGTAAGTTAGACCAAGTAATGTCGCTGCGTCAATTCGCGCCCAACCATAATTACTTGTACCGCCAGACCAGATCCTTAACGTTAGTAAGTTTTAAAATTACGTTAAGCACAAATATTAAATCAATTAATAGCTTGATCGAAAAACTTCACATATCCAAGCGTAAATAATTTGATTCGAGTTTATGTATTATTAAAAACAAGTTAGAGGATCTAGTCGGGAGTTCTCGACTAGGGGAACTTTCTTCTACCATTACAAAATGCAGCATGCGCTACAAGTGCGTTTGCTTTAGCTGAAATAAAAATAAATTAAAAAATCAGATAAATTGGCTCCTTCTATTCGTTTCGAACCATTAACAGTCCGCACTACTTGCCACTGACTCAACAGCTATGCCACCAACTCACCCTTAGCGGAAATAAAAGGAATTAAAAAAGCAATACATACGGACAGAATACAATACAATGGTGTTCATAGAATTCAACAAAGACGCGCATGAATGTGTGAACATGTGTTCTTGCAATTTGCACCAGCTGCACCAACCACGTGGGCAGCTAAAACACATCTTCTTTAATAACGTTTGTGTTCCTTAACAAAACTTGATAAAATTTTGAGCAGTAGATCCTATATCCGTAATCGAAAACAATAGATATCGAAATCCTGTTCATGCGCGTCTTCTTTTAAATCTATCAACAGCATTGCAATTACGATTGTATTTTTTTCTGTGCAGCTATTTTAAATCGTTTTTTTTCTCATTAAGACTCAATAGTTGGTGTGGCTGTTGGGTAGAGGCGGCGACAAGTAGTGCGATCTGCTGCGAGCTCGAACCATACCAAGGGAACTTTTTTTAAAAATTTTTTTTATTACTACGAAGGCAAATGAGCGCGAAAAGCGGGCTGCATTTGGTGTTGGTAGAAGAGGGTTCAGGGTATATCGTAGTCAGGAGCTCCCGACTAGAACCTCTTACTTCTTTTTTAGTTGATATGTATGTATGGTGCGTAGGTAATTGCTATAAAATGAAAGATGTTTTATATCTCTATATATAAAACTGTTTGTCCTGACTGACTGACTGACTGACTAACCGACTGACTGACTGGTGATGAACGCACAGCCCAAACCGTAAGAGCTAGGAAGCTGAAATTTTCACTGTAGTTACCTTATATGATAAAGGTGCACGTTAAGACGGGGTTTCGGGAAATACCAACCGCAAGTATGGAAAAATCGCAAAAAACATTTATATGAAACTTTTTTGTTTACCATCCGATCGACCTCAAACTCAATTTTAAAGTTCCTTGTTCAAATTCGTTTGAGGGGTGTTTCACACTTTTCCAAAAATGTATTCCTCCTTGGTGGAAATGGCGGTCAAAGATTTGGTGGATGACGTTTCGCGCTAAAATTCATTTTCAAGGATCTATGTGAAAAATCATTTGAGACGTGTTTCACATTTTTCTCAGAATCAAAGCATCCTCGGTAGAAATGCGATTATAATATTTTTTTGGTGCAGTTTTAAGTTTTGTCTGATTTTCTTCAAACTTATTTTCAGAGCTCTACATAAGAACTTAATGAATACGAGTTTTAGCGGCTTGGGAAATTCCACCCGCAAGTATGGAAAAATGGCGAAAAACGTGCACTTCAAAGATGATTTGGTGGTTTTAATTTTTTTTTCCGATTTGCTTCAAAATTATTTTTAAAGCTATACAGTAAAAACTTAATGAATACGTGTTTTAACGATGTGGGGAATTCCAACCGCAACAGTGGTAAATTGGAGGAAAAGCTGTTTATTTACCGTCCGATTAGTTTCAACATGATTTTCAAAGGTTTTTCAAAACATTTATTTTATACGTGTCACGGGCAAATGCCGGCCTATACTTATTGAGAACCGTATAAGTATAATAATAAATTAATAATGAAATACCCCTGCAGGCTTATAAAACTAAACCCAGTAAGCTTCTCAATTATTGTAAGCTTATAAGTTCATTAATCTTAAAATAAATATAATAATAAAAATCTCAATAGAACAGCTGTTCATCTGCATATACATAATAAAATGGCAGAACTGATATTATTTACTTTAGTGCGTTTGTTACTTCCATTTACATTAATAATTGGTAAGATATATAATTTATATATACCGTAATTAACATAGAATTTTTAAAGCTATTATTTGACGTATACACAGCTTCGTTATCACGGCCTGTCGCCCTCTCAATGATCTATCTAATTATGTTCTTTGTGTCACCTTGGCTTTTGCAAACTAAAAGCTACTTTCAACGCAGTCTGTTAAAATTTTATTTGGTTTTTACTTGTATATTGAGCGCAATATTTGCTATTGGCCATCTCTTAATTAACTTTTTCAATTTATTGTTTCCTTATATGGATATAAAACCATCAATAACAATTATTTTACGCCAAGTGGGGTTCGTGAATTTCATGGGATTGCGGTAAGCGACATTACAAATTTATTTTGAAGCTTTAAGAACCATTTCGTATAGGGCTATTGCAATATTCCATTGGATTCTACCAGATATAATGGTAACGATTATGGCCTTGATTGTACTTGTTTTTATCGTTTTATCGGCTAAAAAAAATTCTCAATCGAAAGACTATAAGGATTCCGAAATGCCTGTGGAATATAATAATGAACCTGTAACAAATTTACGATATTCTGAAATTAACCGCCTCTTAATAATTGCTTATATTCGATCTGTGCTAAAAACGTGTAAGCATAACTTGTTTTTAGGCATTAAAAAAAGTAATTAATTTATTCTTTTGCAGCTCCAATTTTTTCCTTAATCGTTCTCTATGTTGCTGCCACCTTAAGACCATCATTACCTGGCAGCTTATACTTCATGATATTTATTGTGGCTGGCACTTATTGGGCCCTATACCGACAGTTTAACTGGTATTTATAATTAGAGATATATTAGAGTATATATACTTTTGAATATATAGCATATATTTATACCCTTGCAGAGGGTATTATAATTTTGTCATGAAATGTGTAACGCATAGAAGGAGACATCTCAGCATCAACAGCCGAGTCGATAGAGCCATGTCCGTCTGTCCGTCTGTCTGTTTCTAAGCGAACTAGTCTCTCAGTTTTAAAGCTATCTTAATAAAACTTTGCAGAAGTCCCTCTTTCACGAAGCACATATGTTAAAACCAGCTGGATCGGACTACTATGTCATATAGCTGATATAGGAACGATTGGTCGAAAATTAAGTTGTTGTATGAAAAAACATTTTGTTTATCAAGATATCTTGCGCAAGCTCGGCAATTATTAGTTTTACTAAGCTCCTCATATATATGCAAAATTCTATTAAGATCGGACCACTATATCATATAGCTGCATAAGGAACGATCGGTCGAAAATTAAGTTTTTGTATGAAAATACATTTTGTTTATCAAGATATCTTGACCAAACTCGGCAATTATTAGTTTTACTAAGCTCCTCATATATATGCAAAATCCTATTAAGATCGGACCACTATATCATATAGCTGCCATAGGTCGAAAATTAGGTTTTTGTATAAAAAAACATTTTGTTTTTCAAGATATCTTGACCAAACTCGGCATTTATTAGTTTTACTATGCTCCTCATATATATGCAAAATACTATTAAGATCAGAACACTATATCATATAGCTGCCATAGGAACGATCGGTCGAAAATTAAGTTTTTGTATGACAAAACATTTTGTTTTTCAAGATGTCTTGACCAAACTCGGCATTAACTATTTTCCCTGTGCTTCTTAGATACGGGCAATGCACTATTAGCATTATAAAAAGGTTGGGTCTGCAAGGGTATTAGATCTTCGGCGTGCCGAAGATAGCCTTTCTTTCTCGTTTTATATTTATATACTTTTTGTTTATATTAACATTAATTTAAATACTGCTCCCAATTGAGCTTTTCGATAGAAAGTTTAATAATGTAAAGTTTTTCTGATACGTGTAACAGTCGAAATTACAATTGCTATATATGTTTGCCGAAAAGTCCGTCATTTACTGGTCCGAATCATCCGATTGCGACATGTGTACTGCCTGCACGAAGCAGACGCATCTTTGTCAAGTTTTTTTTGCTTTTAGAGTCTTTTAGAGTCTAATTCACACAGAAGCATACAGACAAATAAACTGTCATACCTTAATCAAGTGTTTACAAAAATGGGATCTGAGAATAATTCTCTCTGTGTTATACATTTTTTAAACCTTCTACCACGATAATGTTACCTTATTATACCCTGAACCCATTAAAAATGGGTAAGAAGGGTAAAATGTATTTTTGCAAATATGTATGTATGTAACAGCCAGAAGGAAGCATCTGCGACCGCATTAGTTTTTCTCACCAATGAAAGCCACAATTTTAGTGCAATTGTCTCTTTTAAAATACAAGAAAATTCTATAGTACAAAAAGATCTACTGTTGAAAATTCGGTTAAGAAACACAGAAGTTATTAAAGAAAATATGTTTTGGCTGCCCACGAGGTTGGTGTAGCTAGCGCAAGTTGCAAGAATACATGTTCTCACATTCATGTCATTCTTGAATTTTATCAACACCATTGCAATTGGGACTTTATTGTACTCTGTGTGTATGTGTTGCTTTTCTATTTCGTTGTTTTCCCGCTAAGGGTTAATTAGTAGTATGGTAGTTGAGTACAGGGGGCGGTAAGTCGTTTTGTCTCTTACGGGTTCGAATTGAAGAAACTCTATTTTGTTTTAATTTTAATTACTGCTACAGAAAACGAGTACAAAGCGCGATCTGCATTAGGTGTAGGTAGAAGGGTTCAGGGTATCCCCTAGTCGGGAACTCCCGACCAGAGCCTCTTACTTGTTTTTAAACTGCAATAACCATTATTATTTTCAGCGGTATGCATTATCCACTTATCGTTGTTGCCATATCCTTATCAGTACAAATAATTTGTTTTGTTTCATATCAGCTGCCAGTAATACAGAGCTATTTAAATAGCGAATCAATATGGGCGCGGTAAGTTCAGAGCTTTTATAACTGTAAACGTTCATCATACACAAATTACAGCATTATGGGCTTGGAAGCGCTACTTTTACTTTTCAATCGAAATTGGAACGGCATGATATTTAAACTAAATAATGAAATACATGTGGATTCATATCTGAGTCCAGTTGCATTGATGTGGGCTTATTTTGTTATAGCACTCAATATAATACACCATAGACGATACAAGTTAATTTTTACTACAATGCGAATGAAAATTGGTCCAAAGCCTGATGATCAGCCACATCAATTAATTCGGCAGCCTGGGCAAAATGAGATTATAGCAGTTAATAATGAGAAACCATCCACTGTGGAACAATTCTTTTATATGATTTGTGACCTAACATCATTCATATATAAAAATAGCTATATACTGCTCAACATAGTTATGATGGCAAGTACAACAACAAATTTTATTTTGCTTAAAAACAGTTTATATAACCAACTAACTACTAACTGAAGTGAATTAAATACATTTGTTACACCCTGAACTCTTTGAAAATGGTTAAAAACGGGATGTTTTGTACAAATGTTGTTGGTATATACTTAGTACAAAATACGGAGACTTCATGAGCTACACACATTTTAAATAATAATCTTGTATATCAACGTAGAACGAGCTATAAATATTCTGGTTAGCACTGTCCCCTATAATAAATGTATAGGTATGAGTGGCCCGTGAAGGATTAAGGCCATCAGAGGCTAAAGAGACAACCTACCACTCTTGCCACCTTTCCATCACACGTAGACTGGCTATTAATCTTTTTTCAACAAAAGTTTCTATAAGATTTAAAATACTTGATTTGCGATGTCTTATTTGGTGACTCTAGCTCTAAAAGGAGAAGACGAAATTTTCACTGTAGTTGCCTCACTGTAGTTAATTCATTTTCAAATATTTTCTTATCATTTGAGGCCTGATTCACATGTTTCGCAAAATCAAAGCTTTCTCGGTGGAAAATGCGATTCTAAGATTTTATTGGTGAAGATTTAAGATCTTTCCAATTTGCATACAACTTATTTTCAAATCACTACATAAGAGCTTTCTAAATACTTGTTTCAGCGATTTGGGAAATTCCACCCTCAACAGTGGTTAATTAGCATAAGAGGGTTGTATGAAAGTTTTCTGCTTTCCATCCAATCGGTTTTAAAACATATTCAAAAATCTTTGTTAAAATTCATCTGATGGGTGTTTCGCACGTTTTGGATAATTCATCACTCCTTGGTGAAAATGGGGGGCAACGATTTGGTGGGTGACGTTTCACGCTTAAATTCATTTCCAAGGATCTATATGAAAAATCATTTGAGACGTGTTTCACATTTTTGTGGTCCGATTGGCCTCCAACTTACATTTAAAGCCATACAAAAGTACTTAATAAATACGTGTTCCAGCGATTTCAGAAATTCTATTCGAGACGGGTTAATTGACGGTGAACGATTCCATGAAAGTTAATGGTTTACCACCCACTCTGCTTTAAAATCAATTTCATATATATCTCTTTTTTTTAGAACAAAACTTGCCACGGGCAAGGCCGTGCAAGTATATATGTATACTATTCACTATTATTATTACAGGTTACTCTACTCTGAGTTCTTCCTAACAAAGGCCTTGCCGCACTGTTTGGAGCCTGTTTGCTGCACACTTACGGCTATCCACGCTTCCTTTCTTCTCTTAACAGCACATCTGTTCCTTTAAAAAAATTGACGGCACGCTCGCTGCCGAGCCGTATGCTCGGGTCGGGCGCTCAACTTCGCCGCTAGCTTCGCAACTTCGCCTCGGAGCTTTTGTTCTTTGCCGTAATCGTTCCGATTCCTTGGGAGCCAGTAAAGGGTGCGTTTGACGAGAGGGGATATCAGCAAGCTCGAGTCTGCCGCCAACCTCGATGAGCTCGCATCCAGAAGGGTCGTTTATGATTGGGCTGAGAAATTTCAGATTGCTTTTCTAATCTCTTCGTTTTTTTAGCAATTGCAAATCTTCCTTTGAATAGTGCTGTTGGATGATCTAGATGGTGCAATGTAACCCGTGGCGAAGTTCTTCTGGGGATGGCGATGTCTTTCGACAAGGTGTTCTTTTTTGGCAATATGGTAAAACCCGAAAATATATGCCATAATTCGCACCGATCGAATGCATGAACTAGTTCCGTTCAGCCAGTCGAGAATATAATTACTTTCGATAATTGCAGCAAATGTAGACTTCGGTTTTCAGCATCGATAATGTCCATGCCCAAATCATTGTCGAATTGTTGGCAGGGCCATTGAGTCTCGGAATCACGCAGGTCTTGTAAACCAAATTGATTGCTGGAGCTCGTTAGCTGTACATCCACGTGACACGATGTCAGCAGAGTTCAATTTTGACGGTACATGTTTCCACTTTCCATCTGCTGTTTGATCTTGTATAATGAATACTCTTTTTCTAACAAATGTCTACAATGTGATAGAGTGTTGTTAAAGCCAGTGCAATACAATCTGTGAAGCAGACTAGAAATGCGCGCTGTGCGGCTTGCCGATGAATATGTTTTTGACCGTTGAATGTAACTTACTCAAAAGTTCAGCTCCGCTTAACTCTAATCTAGCAAGTGTCAGCTTCTTGACAGGAGTCACCCGGGATTGAGCAGTTAGAAGCTGAACCTGGACATTGCCATAAGAATCCGTGGAACGTATTGATGCGTCACAGAAAGTGTGCAGTTGTATGTCTGTGAGCTCAGCTTGTAAGCAAAAGCGATGTACTGAAATCGACGACAATTCCTTGAGAGACGTCACGCAATTTATCCATGCTTGTAGGAGTGATTGCGGAACATATTCATCCCAGGCGAGTATAAGCAGCCATAGCTCCTGAATGATGATTTTCGAGACGATAATGATTGGTGCCAAGAATCCTAATGGATCGAACAGAGAAGATGCAGTCGAGAGAATAGTCCTCTTTGTGGCTCTTGAATACAATTTTTTGGGTTTAGATTCAAATAGCAGTACAGCATGACGGCGGGATGATTGAAGTGCGACTTAACCAATGCGAAGTGTCCTCGGCGAAGTATCTCGGTGACCTCGTGCAAGCTGCGAACTGCTAAGTATGGGGCCGAGGCCGTTCCATTTTTAGTATTAGGTCTGCAAAACTGCATCAGAGGATGCTCTGTAAAATATACATTAAGTTTTGCAATCCACTGACTAAAACTTGACTAAACATTTTCGTAATGTCCGCTGTGATGGCAAAACGAACCAATCGAAAACGAAGGAGAAGTATATACAGATCTTCTTGGAGTGTTGGGCCAATGAAGAGCAAATCATTCAATGAATGCTGGGACTATGTAGCGCACGAGGCATCAGAAACGACTCCTAACTTCGTTGATGCACTGATGGGTTTAAAAACACAGTGGTGAAGTATGTAAAAGTGTGCCTCACTTAATCTCGGATTCGTCACTAAAGTCATATGGCCGAAATCCAAATATTCTGTCATGAAAGTTACATATTGCGGTTGAACAGTAGGCTGCTGACTGAACCGCCTCTCCACGACGGGCAACATCGCTTGAATTGCCCAGGCACGTTGGCTTTCCCTTGAATGGTAGACGCACAACAATCCTGCCGTTATTTATCTGAGTTGTCCCTAAATACATATCTTCACAAAGCCGATGTTTCGGATTGATTGACTTTGAAGAATTTTGTATAGAATCAATGCTCCACAGAAATTGAAGATTTTTGTTAATTGACTCCTCTATAGAAATCAAGCACGTTGATGACTGCTTATCTGACTGATAGCGATACTTGCCAGACACAGCCCACCCAAGCAGCGTTTTCTGCAGGACTGGCAAATCGTCTACGAGCTTGATCTGTCCAACAGCCAGGCATTCGTAAAATGCCTCTGTACCGAGCAAGAGATCAATCCGACCTGACCTGTGGAAAGTTTCGTCCAATATGACTTGTTGATTTTCAAATCCGGCTGGCAGGCAATGTTAGCCGTTATGCTGAACTTGAAACTGTAGAACTGTAGTGTTACTTCAAATGGTGACAAGAGATTTAATTCCCCTAGTTGTACAGTTGTTAATTTTAGTCGAGGACTTCCCTATGCTGCGGATTTCGAACTGATGCTTATCACGGCGTAGATGCAGCACTGAATCAAGCAATGCTCTGCCTTGTTAATACACCCCTGATGAATCTCGCACTAGTACCTTTGTAGTAGCAAGAATGATTTTTACGCATTGGCATTGATTCATATGCGAGTGCGTTGAAGCAGAAGTCGTAGTTGAGGACATTTTCGTATGGATGATGGCGATGTAGACGATGATGATCAGGCGGTTGAAATGTAGTAGAGTGTGATGGCGATGCTTGCAGCTTCGACAACGATTGTTAGAAGGACACTAAGCCATGCGATATCCTGATTGCAGGCAATTAATGCAAAGTCCAGCATTGACTTGAATAATTGTACAATTTTATGGTCGGAGGTGGACCAAACAATGCATGTTGGATTAGTAATAGCAAATGATAATCCTTTGCCAGGCTTGCCCACGTATTTTTGTTTCGAAGAATCAGCCATACGATACGATGCGATACCGCTTGATGGCAGAAACTAGCAATGACGTTCCAAAATAGTTGTGCAGTGTAGGGCAGGGCCCTTCAAGCAATATAGCAGATGATTTAATGTTTCAATGTTCGAAAGAGAGTACTCACGACAGATAATCTGATTGACTGATGTAATGAAGTTTTTGAACTCTGTTCGTTTCCCATCAAACACAGGCAGAGTCAATCGAGGAAGACTGACGTGATAAGCAGTACATCATCCAGTTGGGTTTGGATGGACAATTTGATACTCACGTATGTGTCCACTACTGCACGTCCATTGTGCTGAGGATTTTCTATTTCAATTTCAGATTGTACTCCCAAAACCTCCTTAATATACAGTGGCTCACAGTTTATTTTATGCAGTACATACTCCCGAATTAAAAGGTATGTAGCAACGAAATTAAGGAACGATTTTGGTAATGTTTGAAAGTGCAATAAGTCTAGTTTAAAAATAAGCTATATTTATTAATAATATATAGCTACTAAATACCTTAAACATTAAAAATCAAAAAATACTGCAAACATTAGGTCATGGCTTATTTTATGCAGGTACTTGGGATTTGGATAACTTTACTTTTTATGGTTAAATTCATATTTTTAATTCTTGGTATGATAGCATTTGTTGTTTACAAGCGGCTTAAAGCGATTCTGCGCCGATGCCACCAACTTTTGAGTAACTCCTGGTGAAATTTTCTGCCATTTAGCCTTCAGCGCAACTTGAAGGTCGTTTTTATTGGACATTTTGTGTTTTCGAATGTTTTGTTCCCATATTGACTTAACATTTTCAATTACATTCATATCTGGAGACCGGGCTGGCGGAGTCATCAATTGAGGGCTGTTATAAGTAAGCCCCGACTGAAATATACATGCATTGTGTTTTGGGTCATTATGCTGGTAACTTTGCAGCAATATTGCTTTTAAAA